GTGGCATGGGAATCTGGGCATGTGCCCACGAAACTAACTTGTACACTCTGGACTCGCTCATGTCTGATATCAGAAGTGTCACTACCATCTTACCACCTATTGCTGCTGAGCCTTCTGAAACTTGTGAATTGGTGGACTTGGCAGACTTGGCAACCCAGTTTCTGATGGGCAGCTGTGTCTACATAGGTACTTGATGTTTCATGGTTCAATGCTTCATCTCAAGTAGGGCTCAGTAGTATATGAAAATCTATTTCAAATTGCCTTGGAATCTCTGCAGTAGGTGGAATGAGCCTGGCTAAAAATATAGACCTAGGGGTCTATATTATTACTTTCCTATTGGAGCTTACTGTAAACTATACATATTATCTGTTCTCAGCACAGGTACTTCTAATAGCATAGGATCTGCTATGTCTGATATTCCATGTGGCAGGGCTGCCTGAAAAACACGTTGGACCTGTTGCAGACCTCTTTACTGTTCTGGGACACTTTCAAAGCTGGAAGTCTTCCATGTTTGTCAGTAAAGGAGTGGAAGCAGTATTCCCTAGTGTGGACTGTGCTATACAGGTACTTAGACCTAAAAAGGCCTGCCAAGCATTGTACTTCCTTCATAAAGGTGGGATTATGAGATGCTGTAATTTGTCATTTACTTTGAAAAGGACATCCCAGCTGTCTTAACTGGAGAGGACAAGAAAGTTTCTTAGTTTTCCACTCGGCTTTTTCCGCTGCAATGGTAAAGACTAAGGAAGACTAAAACAGTTATATATAAATTACTCTAAAGAGTAAAGAAGCTATGTATAGGTTCAGACAACTATCAAATATGCATGTTTATGCCAACTTTAAATTCAGGAACTGGAGAAATGATTATGGAGTAAGTTAGTGGACCCCAGTGGACTCATGATAAGCAGGACCTGGGCCAGAATTCCATTTATTACATGGCACCCATATATCCCCAATATAACAGAGGCCCATGTTGCTGCTTTGAGTCACCATATGTCAATGTTAATTTGAACTCTGTATCTAACAGTTCTTGAAATATTTTGGCATTTCTCTCTCTCTCTCTGGTGTACTGTTATTTGAGTAAATGGACAGAAGTCCCTTATGGAAGAACTGGAAGAATCATTACTAATTAACTCTGTCAGGGTATCATAGGATTTTTTTTTTCCTAGGGACATGACTTTTCCATCAGTCAATGTATTCCAGATCTGAGAATGTCTCAGGAGTAAACTTTGGGCAAGAGATTGTGAATATTTATTGGGGTATCCACCCTAAGCCTCTTGATTATCCATTCCCGACTTCTTTGCATTGTACAGCTTCAGCAATACTCTCAAAGGCTGGCTATTTATCTTGATATTTGGAATCCATGTTGTATTAACCATCTCCGTGGTTCTTTGCGGGTCAGCTTCCTTGACGACCACTTTGACCTTACTATTCATTATGATTATTGCATTCACCTTGCTTTTTTTTTCAATTAAGTGCAGCCACCTGACTTCAGGATCCTCTCATGCCCATTGTTACCAGGGTGGCCACTTCTTCAACAGAATCGCTTGTTGCCCTGGTCTGCCAAGGACAGCTGTCCCTGTGCTTCTCAACAATGCTAGTGTCCTTCACACCGACATGTTCCCTAACAATGTTCCCTAATCATTTGGTAAATGGATTGTCTCCTAGGTCCTTTCATAGAACATTGTTGATGGGTGGTTTTTCTGGCCTTAAGTAATATATCCATGTTCTAGCAGGCTCACTTATCTGGATCTTTTGATTACTGCCTCCACCATCTGTCATGTTTATACTTCATTAGGTGTGGGCTGTTGCTTTGTCCCAGCTTCCAAGAACCATCCTATTGGTATATTAGCACTGTCTCCTGGGGGTCCTTAATGGGGTGCAAACTTTGAATCACAGGCGAGTGCTCACATATTGATAAAGTCATCCCTTTCCAACTTCACATCCTGTTCTCCTTCATACAGCATCCTCAGGATGCCATCACATGTGAACTCTTCTAGCTCTTGCCAGTATAGGTTGGCTAGGCATTGCAGCTTCTTTGACATTTAGTCTCTAATCTACTTCACCAGACCCATAACTTTCCCAGATGGCTTTTGTTATGACTGTTCCTATGATTTGGTGGCCAGGAGGAAAAGTAAGATAGATCATGAAGGGACTTGTATTATTGTTCAAGACAAAAGCTTCTGCACCATCTTCAAGGCAAAGTGGGGTGGGAGTGCAAGCCGTTAAGAGGGAGGAGGGTCACTTCTGAATAACTAGAGGATTTGGGGGAATCTGATAAATCTAGAGAGTTAAGATTTTCTAGTGCAGCAGCCAACATGTTCCCATCTGACATCTCTATGCACCACATTTTCCGCATTAGCCGTGCCCTTACGATAGAAGACATGCAGTTGTTTAGGTTCTCACACTACCTTCAGTTGGTGGTATTTTACCCTTAGGCTTTCATTTTCATATCAGTTCCCCATTAGTGGAATTTTTAACAATTGCACCATAACTGCACACAGCGATGAGATTTTCATTTTGGAACTAGGTGATCCAGCTTCTAAACCCCATTTGATAGTTGTCGTCCTGGAATCAGTTTGGGCAGGAACCGTCCAGCGTGGCTTCCTCGGGTGGCAGACTCTGAGGCATGGAGATTTGCATGCAGGAGGTTAAATGAGGAGTGCTTTTAGTAACATCACCTGTGATGAGTGAGGGTCGCAGGACTGGGCAGAAGAAGTTGGATTGTGATGCAGTTACAAAAGAGGCTTCAGTTGATCCTACGGTAAGATTGGAGCTATTCACAGTTGCCCTAATTGAATCCAGAGGCTATGTAGTCCAGCACCATCAGTCACTGGATACAGATGTCTCCAGGAAAGGGGATGTGTGTTCGTGTAGCTTAGATCAATTCCTGGAGAAGACTGACTCAGCTGTGAGCTATCAGCAGTTTGCACTCCTGGCACCTGAGGAAATGCGTGCCTCAGTTTTGAAGGACTATTTGGGCAGCAGGCCATGGAGGCTACCATAGTTCCCAACAGAGACTTGAATGAATGATTGAATGGTCCTTTTGGGATTATAAGCCTCTTGATAGTAGATTCCTTTTGGATAACAGTACAGCAGTTAGCATAGTGCTTTCCATCGATTGATCAATATGTGTCGAATGAATAAATGAAGGGATGAGTTTTAAGCTTCTCACCCATCAGTGACTATTTTAGGTCCCAGTCAATAATTAGAAGTTTTAACTATCATCCTTCTGCATGGCAGTTTTCTAAAACTTGCCACTCCCATGAAGTAGAATGATGTGGGTTTACTGTTTGTGTGGAACAGTGACTAGAGAGATCCTTTTGAAATGTGGTGGTGTGAGTGGGCACTAAGCTGAGCCCAATTTAATTGCTGCTCTGCTCCTCAGCCATGTCACAGGACTCATTAGTGCCTGGTTGATGGCAATTTATTGGCATGCACTGCCTTAGATAGAGGCTGAGTTTTGTGTGCTGTGGAACTGCCTATTAGCTTCATTCTGAATACTTAAGAGTATACTAGACATACTTAAAATTTCTTCCTTGGAAACAGATTGTTGGTAACTGCTTTATTTTCTCTCTAAATACAGAGTTTGTCACCACATTTCTTCATTAAACGATGTCAATATTCCACTCAGTAGAAATAATTGTACCCTTTTCTTAGGTGCAATTATCCTGATGAAAGTAATTAGTCAACACAGCTACTTAAGAAGGAGCCCTGCATTTGGAAGAGATTCAACTCATATGTACCATGTGGTAGGGATTTAGCTTGGCACTGAATTTAACTTGGCAACATGCACAACTTCACAGAGGATTTCTTGGTTGTTTTTTTTCCCCATACACAGATGATGTCCCAAGAACATCCAGTACAAAGAAAACATCCTTCCCTGTATTAAGACCAAAAGCATACCTGTTATTCTGACAAAAATTATACATATATATATATTTAACCCTCATAAGAAAATCAGGATTCTAATTTTACTTTATTCTCTCCTGCCTGTTTGCCAACTTTTTGGGTATTCAGCTAATGTTGTACAACCACATAAAGCTCACCCCTGCCATCAACTATGCATTTGGAGTGTGGATTAAAAAAAAAGAAATAGAGGAAAGCAACTTTTTAATGGCTTGAGATCTGAAGCAGTTTGAGAGATTTCAGACTCTTTAAGTTATCCCTAGACCAGTCTCTTTCTGGGTACGGAAATTAACTGATGGTTCTCAAATCTCTACTACTAAAATTTCTGGGGTGCTAGTAATATAATATATCTTGATAGGCATTTCAATTACACAAGGGTTTGAATTTGTCAAATTCAATGAATGATCACTTTTACATCAAAGGAAAATACTTAAAACACATATTGAACACTAATGATATGTATGGTGAATATTTTTGGAGAAAGGTACCAATGTCTGTAATTTAATTGGAACTGCATAAAAAATAATATGAGTTGTTAGATGAACATAGATATGGATAGATAGAGTTGTGTGATAAAATCAAGTAGAGTGAAATGTTATGGTAGAATCTAGGTCACAGGTATAGGAGTGTTCCATGTAAAGTTATTCATGCTTTTCTGTGTTGGAAATTATTATAATAAAATATTAAAATGAAAATTTTTATAATAAAATAAAATAATCACCTTTGGCACTCCTCTTGCAGTACCCTTGAAGCAAACTTTAATCAAAATGGAATGACAATTTATTGAGTACCTATTATGGACAAGTACAATGCTGGGTACAGGTTTCATTGGGATTCCATGCTTAGCAGATTTTCTCTGTTCTTCACTGGGTCTAGTGCAGCAGCTCCAATCTCTCTCATTCTGTCTCCAGTAGAAAAAATATAGGCAACTGTATTCTAACCCTCTGGGATGCATGGATTGATTTATCCATCCATCCATCCATCCATCCATCCATCCATCCATCCATCCATTTATCCATCCATTCATCCATCCATCCATCCATCCATCCATCCATCCATCCATCCATCTGTGTTTACTCTATTTCTCTGTTTAGTGAGAGGGATTTACAAGTGATCAAGACCAAGCTCTACAATCAAGAAGCTTCAAGTGTCATGGGGAATTTCAGTATGAAGTCACTATTCCTGCAAGTTCCACTCTGACCTTGTTTATTCATTCTGTCAGAAAAAATTACTTCAAGACCAGGGATGTGATGTAAGATATTGAAAATATACTTGTCCACATCTGGAAAACTTCAAAAGTCGCATTTTTTATTTTCCTGGTAATTTCCAAAGCCACAAAATATTCCAGTCACAAATAAAAAAAACCCAAGGCTTTCCTGTGGGAAACTTTAGAGGAAACCTAACAAAACTTTCCCCAATTGGAATAAGCCATTAAATACTTAAAAGAATTTTAGTAGCACATAAAACCAAACCAAGTCCTCTGAATATCACAGGGCCAAATCAAATGTTAAGTTTTGAAATAACCCGACAGAATCCATCTCACCCAGGTCTTGCCTGGGGAGTTATTGCTCCCTTCAGATCTGTCTTCTTTTTTTTTTGTTTTGTTTTATTGGTTTTAATTAAGTTTTACAGAACAAATTAGTTTGCCATATTTGAGTCACTTTTGCACAGAGATGAAAAGTTCTGTATTCCCTCTTCCAAATCAGCGTTTTACTACCGAAATAGCAATCTGTGCGATGCAACTACAATTGAAACTCCAGTCAATAAAAGAAAAAGTCCAGTAAAGTGGGAGAGAGAGGATATGGGAAAGAGAGCAAAGAGTAGACAGCAGAAACAGAGGAAGCAAAAGAAGAATAGAGAAGGGAAGGGAAAAACTAGGGAAAGTAGACGAGGCCAGAGGGCAGCAAAAATGACTCTGTGTTCTCAGAGTCAAATGCTTGCTGTCAGATTCGAATGTCTCAGGTTCCTTTTGCCTTCACCCCAAATCAATAAACTCCTAGTTGAGAGTCTTCGTAACCCACTATTTGCCATTGGAAACAGGAGCACCAGATATACTGCAATTCTAAGACTCAATGACTTGGACACCTGTTCTTGATCCTTTTCAATCCTCTACAATAGGAAAAAAAATTTCTCTCACCTATTTTTGATTTGGTACTAGAATTCCTGGATGTTTTCTTTCCCTTGCTTTTGTCTCATCTTAGGCATATAATGAAAGACAAAGAAACCAACAAAGAACAACCAACAAGCAAAAACCCTGTGTGAGAGCAAAGAGCCAGAGCTTGAAACTTACAGTGGTATGTCCTTCCACAAGATGGTGCTCATCTTTCTCTGCTTTTACTTTCCATCTTAAAAACTGGAATGACTGTGACGTGGGTTTCAAAATGACTTGAATGATTATACATACACATTTCTGATAGCATTGTAGGATTTTATTCATTGAGATATTTAATTTCCAGGGTATATTAGGGGACGCGAAGATGAAGGGAGTATTGGAGTTCGGGTATTACTGAAAACAGACTGAGAGAGAGATTAGTGAGCAGGGACTGTACTATGAAATGCTCACAGAATTGACACCTGTATAAGAAAAGGGAAGGCAGAGATTGGCTTGGGCATAGGATGAAGCTGGACTGGGGTGCAGTTTTAATGCAGGTTAACTCACAGGGCTTTGAAGCTGGGATGACCCTCCACAACTGTTTTTTTGGGGCACTGGGCTGGGCCCTAACTCTTCTGTAATGACCACTGGATGTGGACTGCTCCATGAGGCAACATATTATTTAGTGAGACAGCTCTCTTCAGCAAAGGCATTTCCTGAAAAGGGCTGAGAGCTGAGAGCTGTCACCAACAACATTGCCAGCAATTGTAGGAATAAATCCTACCTTTCTAATGGGAGATTTCCTGGCATGCTTTCTTCTCCTTTTCTTTCTCCTATGTTTATGTCCCTAGTATGTGGCAGCCACAATTCCATATGGTTCTTCTCTCTGAATTTCTCCAAGTCTTCTAGTTAGCCATGGCTATTTCTTTTTCTTTCTTTCTTTCTTTTTTGTTATTTTTCTGTTTCAGTTTGGTTCCCTGAGCAGCTATAGCTGTGGCTTCGATTTTCCTAGCAGCTTATCTTTCACCTTTGCTTTGAAATTGAGAAAGACCAATGTGCCTCGACGGAGAAATTTTACCTATCTGATTGCTAGGCAGGGGAGGAGCAACCGACAACCCATCAGTGAAAAATGTACGGGCAGTGGATTGGTTTCTGCTAATTTTTCTGATCTGTTAGCTAGTGCAGAAATGGATGGTGGCTGCTTTTCTGTTTCTTGCTTGTAAGGAATGTTAATATGAGTTTCAAGTCAATCAACTGGTGGATCTATATATTTTCCTTGGAGAGTTTAAGAGGGGCTCACTAAATAATATTCTTTTCCACCCATCAATCTGTGTTAGGAAGATGTATGACTGGTATCTAAGGCGCTGTCAGTGTGTTATTTTCCATGTTCCTCTCACATGTCAAATATAAAAATACAGCCTGTCAGTGTAAGTGTGATGTGGGGCATTGTTCAGAGAGACTGTGAGAACTCCTGCAGTGCTCCCTGATTCATCATTTCAACAGCCTAATCATTTCATAGCCCAGTCTAAACAAAACAGTTAGGACACTCCGACTTAGGGGGTACTGAATCAGGGGCAATTCAGAAAGGACAGAAAAGTCCCAAAGAGAAAAATGTTCCAGAAAAAAATAAATAAGAGAAGCCTTGTCTTTGTACCCAGTCTCATAGTTACTGATCTTTTTTTCCAAAGATTGTTTATCAATTAATTATTCTCCACCACACCCTACCCCCTGACATTTTGCCACAGCGTCTGGGAGTCCTCGTTAAATCAGAATTTCTACTTTCAGCTCACCTGTCACAGCTAAAGGCTCCCTCAAATACATTGACATCGATTAATATTTAATGATTGAATAGTAGAAATATTGGCTCAGCACTTTTTACTTTTTCTTCCTTTAAATTAAAATGCCTTTAAAATGGACTCTACTTCAGATACACTCAGCCCTAGATTTTTACAATGAGAGATTTATGTGGGTGCCAAATACAGGAGAAGACCATCACCCTGTGTAAAGCAATACATGCTCTAGGAAAAGGCTTAGACTGACGCAGAGAGAACTAGCATTTAATGAGCAGTTAGTTACTCTGGGCCAGGCACTGTATTGGGTACTTTCCATCATTCACCTCCAGTACTCACAAGCACCTCTACAAGGTAAGTATTATTTTATTTTTTATCCTCACCCGAGGACATTTTTGCATTTATCTTCAGATAGAGCAGGAGGGAGAGAGGGATGAAGAGAGAGAGAGAAACACTGATGTGAGAGAGACACATCCAGTGGTTGCCACCCACATGACCCCAACCAGGGCGGGGACAAACTGCAACCAAGATACGTGCCCTAAGTGGGAATCAAACCCCAGACTCTCTGGTCTGTGGGCCAATGCTCTAACTGCTGAGCCAAACTGGCCAGGGCAAGGTAAGTATTATTATTAACAGTCTCAGAGAAGTTAGAAAAAAAATGTCTGAGGTCACACATTCAAATTGTAGTAAATATTTGAATCTTGTGTTGTTGGGCTACACAATCCACACTCTTTCCTAATCCATGTTGTCCCACTGGGAGACAGGAGACCTGAGACCCACTGAACCGGTGCCCTATTTGATGCCAACAATCATTTTTGTGTCTTTGTGTCTCCATTTTCCACCTGTGAAATGAGCAATAAGTCAGATCTTGAATTCTAATTTGAAGTCTATTAGGACTGAGATTCTGGTTTTAAATCAGGTTAGCTCTTAGTTTATATGAGCAATACCCTACAGTTAATTTTTATAACATGCAGATGGAGAAGGAAATGAAGAGACATTTTCTTCCAGGGTAAAGTAGTAAAATATATATAAATGCTAAAAAAAATTAATATATGCATAGTGTGCATTTTTAGAGAGATCGATCAGCATAACCATGACAGAGAAGACGCAGCATGCTCAAGTGAAAAGAAAATAGGCTTCGGATCAGACAGATAAGTTAAATTCTACTTCCAGTACCTGTTGGCTCTGTAAACTGGGGCAAGTTTTGTAACCTCTACAAGTCTCAGTTTCCTCATTGATGAAATGGGGATAATAATTCCTACCTCACAGAATTGTGGAGAGTGGAAGAGGTCATGTATTTAAGGAGCCTAGAATAGTATTTAGCACCTGTTAAATAAAAGATCAGTGTTATTAATATTAAAAAGGAAATATCAGTCATAATCAATCTTCATAAATGTACCAGCTTAGTTCAATTTTATCATTTGTTGACAAAGATAAACTAGACACATGCTAAAAGGGATCATATAGGTAAAGACACAAGAAGTGATTTCAGTAATTCAACATCCTAGGTATAGTGATAGATTCCTGAGTAGTGTGTTTCCGTGAGTAGAGGAAGAACACTTAATGGAGGAGATACCTGCTATACGTTTTAAGGCATGAAGAAGGTATCTAGGAGTTGTGGGTTGCTAGCTTTCCCACAAAATCTGTTCTCTCTTCTGTAGTACTAGAGATGCAGCTTTGCACGTGGGTCCCAGTTTGAGAAAATATTAACCAGCTTCCTCTGCATCATGGTGTGACCTTTTGTCTAGTTTATTATCAGTGTTTCATGTGTGTATAATCTGTATCCATTGCTTAAAATAAATGACTCATTAATTTACCTATGGATGAACATTTGGGTTGTATGTGAAGATTAACGTATATAAAGTTTACTTCAATAGGTATAAACCAAAGAGGAAAAAAGAAAAAAGAAAATAGTTTGTCCTTTAATGTTTCTCCTTCTCCCTTCTGGTGGGCAGGACTACAGATGTGGTATGACTCAGATTTGAAAATGAAATCGAAGACAATATCCTAGGAGATGACAGAGCAACAAGATAGCAGGAACCTGGGTCATGATAGCCTTATGGCACAGAGCAGCTATGCAGTCTTGAAATTATCTTTATACTGGTAAGTGAGGGAGATATCAACATCTATCTTATTTATGCTACTCTGTTTTGGAGTATTCTGTACTACACGAGGCAACAATACCCACATACTCATTAATTCAGTATTTCTCATAGGACCACCTTCATTAGAATTACCTGGGCTACATATTAAAAATGTAAATTTCATCACCATCAAAGCAAATCCTTGGGGGATAGGAGTACAGATAATCCACATTTTAAATGTGCTCTTGGGTGATGCCCATATAAACTAAAGATACAGTATCCTGGATTATTAGCTTTTTGTTTTCTTAGGGCCTACGGAAAATGCTCCACAGCAGTAGACAGGCATCATCCTTTTAATATTGTAAGGTTATAATTGACAGGTTGTGAGTGCAAGTCAGGATAATTTTTCTACAATTAGGCTTAGTAATCTGTGGGGAATCATTGTTATACCCTTTAAGGCGGTTCTCAACCTGTGGGTCACAACCCTTTTAGGGGTTGAACGACCCTTTCACAGGGGTCGCCTAAGATATAACAGTAGCAAAATTACAGTTATGAAGTAGCAACAAAAATAATTTTATGGTTGGGGGTTACCACAACATGAGGAACTGTATTAAAGGGTCACAGCATTAGGAAGGTTGAGAACCACTACTTAAGCTTTGCTACTCAAACTGTAGTCTGTGGACAGCAATCTCAACATAACATTAGAGCTTTTTAGAAATGCTAAATCTCAGGCCCCAGCCCAGACCTACTGAATCAAAATCTTCATTTTCACATGATCTGTAAATGATTCATAGGTATATTAAATTTTGAGAAGCACAGCTTCTGGTGGTCTTCTTCCTTGGAAAGAAGTCTGTGAACCAGTGACCCATGCTTGACATTTATATAAGTGGCAACTATAGTTAGGAATTCAATGGGCAACCTCCAGAATGATAAAGAAAGACAGTTCTAGGAGCTAATGTTTTTTTCTCACCGTGATTGTACCAAACTTATAATCTTTTAGGTGTGAATCCATGGTCCTGACCCTTGCCATTAGCAAGGCCCATGTGGCTATTACAAAATGAAAAACACCTGGCTCTCAGCTTTGGGCACACCTTGATTCTGCTATTACTTGGATTAATCCCTTGTCAGTCTAAGTGGGCAGCAGATGACTTGCACTCTCTTTGGTAAGGACAAGGTTCTTCCACCTGTTTTTTCAATTACTCTTTCTTTTTTTCCCGACTTTACTGAAGATAATTGATGTATAAATTGTGTAAGCGTAAGGTATATAACATGATGATTTGATATATGTACAGTGAAATGGTGAAATGATTAACACACTAAGGTTAGTCAATACATCCATTACTTCACATCATTACCTTTCCTTTTCTTTTGTGGTGAGTAGAACTTTTAAGTTCTACTCTCAGCAACATTCAAGTATACAGTCCTGTTGTGTTAATCACAGTAATGTTAATGTACACAAGATACCCAAAACTTACTCACCTTATAACTGAAATTTGTACCCTGTGATCAACTTCATCCATTACCCATGGCCCATAGCAACCATCAATATACTCTGTTTCTATGAGTTTTTAAGGATTCCACACATAAGTGAAATCATAAAATACCTGTCTTTGACTGACTTGTTTACTTAGCATAATACCCTCAAAGTTCATCCATGGTGTCACATCAGCAGGATTTCTTTCTTCTGTATGGCTGAGTAATATTCCATACATATGTGGAAAATGTTATATGTAAAGTTCATTCTTAATATATAAAAATACAACTAATTTTTGTACGTTGACGTGTATCCTGTAACATACTGAATTTTGAATTAGTTCTAACAGTTTTTAGTGATGTCCAGTATTTTCTCTATATAAGATTATATCATATGCAAACGGACAATTTAAATTTTTCTTTTCTCATTTGGATGCCCTTGACTTTTTTTGCTTGCTTGACTGCTCAGGCTAGGGCTTCCAGTATTGTGTTGAATGGGAGTGGTGATAGTGGGCATCCTTGTCTTGCTCCTGATCTTAGAGGAAAAGCTTTTAACCTTTAACCACTGAGTTATGATGTTAGCGCTGGGCTTATCATATATGGCCTTTATTATGTTGAGGTACATTTCTTCTATACCCAATTTTTTACAGTAGTTTTTGTTTTTTATCATGAAAGGATGTTGAATTTTGTAAAGTGCTTGTCTATATCATGTAAATTTTATTTTTCATTCTATTAATGTGATGTATCACATTTTCAAATTTATATATGTCAAATCATCTTTGCATCCCAGGGGTAAATTCCATTTGATCATGGTGTATGATTCTTAAATATGCTGCTGAATTTGATTTGCTAGTATAATGGTGATAATATTTTTGCATCTATATTTTACATCTATACTTTTTGCTTCTGTGTTCATCGGGAACATTGGTCTATACTTTTCTTATAGTATCCTTACCTGGCTTTGGTATCCAGGTAATGTTGGCCTCATAAAATAAGTTTGGAGTATTCCCTCCTCTTCAATTTTTGGGAAGAGTTTGAAAAGCATTGGTGTTAATTTTTTTTCTAAATGTTTGGTAGAATTCACCAGTGAAACCATCTGGTCCTGGGCTTTTCTTTTTTGGAAGTTTTTTATTTATTTATTTTTTTATTACTGATTCTGTCTCTTTACTCATTATTGGTCTGTTCAGAGTTTCTATTTCGCCATGGTTCAGTCTTGATGGGTTGTTTGTGTCTAGGAATTTATTCTAGGTTGTCCAATTTGTTGGGGTATAATTGTTCATAGTAGTTGCTTATGATTCTTTGTATTTCTTTGGTATCTATTACAATATCTTCTCTTTCATTTATAATTTTACTAATTTTAGCCTTTTTCTTGGTTAGCCTACCTAGAGGTTTATCAATTTTTATATTTTAAAAAACAACAAATTTTGGGTTTGTTCATCTCTTCTATTGTTTTCCCAGTCTCTGTTTAATTTATTTCTGTTTTGATCTTTATTGTTTCCTTCCTTCTGCTAACTTTTACTTAGTTTGTTTTTTTTTTCCTAGCCCTATAAGGTGTAATGTTGGGTTGTTTATTCGAGATTATTCCCCCCTCCCCTTAATGTATATGTTTAGAGCTATAAACTTTCCTCTTAGAACTGCTTTTTCTGCATCCTGTAAGTTTTTGGTATGTTTCCATTTTCATTTTTCTCAAGGTATTTTTTTAAATTTCCCTTTTGATTTTATTCTTTGATTAATTTGTTATTCAAGAGTATGTTATTTTTTTTATTTCCACATACTTGTGAGTCTTACAGAGTGCCCCCTGTTATTGTTTTTTAGTTTTATATACTTGTGATTGGAAGAGATATTTGATCTCATTTCTATCTTTTTTATGTTGTTTAGACTTGTTTTATGGCCTAACTTAATGTATCATAGAAAATGTTCCATGTGTGCTTGAGAAAAATCCACCATTTTTATAAATTAGCCAATTCTAATGTATTTTCCCATGGATATTTGGAACTCACATGTGGCCTATAGTTAGGACATACTACTCAACCAAATGTGCACACCATAGTGTGTCAACGGATATCCCAGATATAATATACTAATTTCCTACTCATTCAGAGTTATTGTCATTGTTTTAGAAATAAGTTTTTATAGAAGACCATTTAAGCAGATCACTGGGTGGCTTATACATACTTATTATTTTTTCTCTCTATTCATTTGTTTGGTTTATCCAATGGGACTAAGTTGCTTAATAATGCCCTGTTCTTAGTAGACCAGGCTGGGGCCAATCTGGCTAATCACTTACTGAGTGTGAGTTTTGGATGGTTGAGGAAAGATCAGTGGGATTCTCTCTTCTCTTTATTCAGGGTTGGTAGCATCAGAGAATTAATTTAGAAGTACCATCTGGGGTGGTAGAGAATAATTGGTCAATATGAATTAATTTATTGTTAATAATAACAACAATTTTCACAACTTACAACCACAAGAACACAATAAATAATTTACTGAGCATTTTCTATGAATTTTACATATATTATCCCTATTAAATTATTTTTAAAATCATGATAAATTAGGAAACTGAGGTTTTGAAAAGTTAAGTGATTTTTCCAAGATTATTTAGCTTGATGAGTGGAGCACTTAGTGTTTGACTCCAGATTCAACTATTTCACCCATTAAGATGTAGCCTCTCAACAAGTCACCCATAGCCAAGAATACTAAGCTTCTGACCAATTTTGAGGTATGGGACAAACAAGAATTCAGCTAACTATGACGTGAGAAGAAATTGAATGAGCAAGATGTAAGATGGTGTGAATGAAATCTGAAGATACAAAATCCATGGAATTTTGGCCTCTGAGGGTCCATTTTTCCTTCTTACCAGCACCTTGGTTTCTCGGGGGGAGTTGCCCCTTCCACTCAGGATACCATATAGTGGAATCCTAGTAAGGAACTCAGATGCCACCGAAAAAAGGAGTAGATGTGTGAACTAAAGCCAACTGGACAATCACTCCCTGGAATTTGAATCTTGAACAAAGTACCAAGCAGATAATGCATGATCAGAGTTTAATCATTTTGGATTCTTCTTGCTATGGGTTCATTTCTCTAGTTTCTGCAGTTCTTGATTCAAGGCTGCTGTATCTCTTATCTCTTTCAAACTTGGTCTCCAACATACCTGTCAACTCTCTGAACTAACTCCCATCATCTTTTCAATATACTACCTTTTGATTAATTCAGCCAGAGTTGATTTCTGTTTTTTACAACCAAGGAACCCTGATCGCCACACCAGAGTTGTATTTTATCTGCTCAATGTGCCTTTGTGGGTAGGTCAGGAATATATAAGGAGACCTAGTTGAGACATAGAAATAATACTTATTTGAAAATACAATGAAAAACAATGATTATAGTCTTAATTGTTTTATGGGCAATAATAATATTTAGGGAGTGCTCATGGATTTTTGAAAAGAGGGTATAAGATAAAGCTAGGGAGCATCAAGTTGAACAGCAAACTTCCTCTACCTATAAGTCAAAGACACACTCTAATTCAGGACATATGTACATAAAATTTCCTATTAAGTAAAGTTTCAATTTAAAAAAAATATAAAAGTAAACAATCAAAGATATTTTGGTGATCTGTAGGAGTTCAACCTCCAAAATAATTAAAATGATATTTCTGATACTGGTTCACACTATACATTCCTCCTTCCAGTTGGAGAGCTGAACAAGGAAGCCAGCCCTTAGAATAATAAGAGTATGGTCAGAGTCAGAATACTGTGCAGTAGTAGACAGGAGAATTTTTATTCTCAGCTAGCAGGGTCATTGTAGACAAAATAGAGGTTAGGACTATTGGACTCTGGCATTAAGAGAAGGAGCTATGCCTACCAATGATTGTTCCAGCTGGGGTATAAGTAGGAAGTCAATCTCTATCCATGTCCACAAAGAAAGGGATTGAAGGCAATTCACATGCTTTGTCTACTGAGAGAAAAATTGATAGAGATCTTTTCTTACTGAAGGAAAAGGAAATAGAAAAAATAAAGTATGGGGAATATTAAAAATAGTATACCACAGAGGAAGATAATTTTAACCTAAATACTTCAAGGAGAAACAAACCTCAGAGAATGATTTCTTTCAGTAAACAGAAGAGAATTTTAGAAAATTGAATCATCAGTAGTGGAATGCAAGACATTCCATCCCTCTGAAATAGTAATAGAAAGCCATAATGAGAGAATTGGCTGAGATGAAAAGGAAGATTCTCGAGTAAATAAAAGACTTTCAGAACACAAAATAATGGCATGGCAGGATAACATTGTATAGCAGTAAAGAATAGAATAGGCACTATAGAAAATCAAATTAATGATGCATTGAGCAAACTCTAGAGCTCTTACAAAATACAGAGAAAGGGATAGAAAGAAAAATGATGAAGGAGAGTGTAGCTCTACAAGGCAGAATGGAGAAGAAACCTAATGACTTTAGGTGTTCAAGAGCAGAAAACAAGAACAATTGGAGATGAAGCAATAATCAAAGACATGTTATGTAAAAAGTAACTTTTCTTCTGAGTCATACAAATACTTAAGTATTGAGGACAGAAGGATTCACTGCATGCCAGACAAAAATCAGAGAAAAAAGCACTGCCCTTGACCATGACTGGCCAAAATGTTTGAATTAGCGGAATAAAAATAAATCTCACATTCACCCAGGCAGAAAGAAAAATGTTGTCTACAAAGACTGGCCCTAACCTTTCTGTAATAGCAAATGCCAGAATTGGAGAAAAGTCTTGTGCTTTTGGGTGAAAAGTTTGTAACTCAAGAATTTGAAAAGCACCCAGATTGTCTTTCATGTGCGATAGCAACAGAAAAACCTTCACCATTATTTAAAGGCTCAGAAACTACTCATGGATGTGAGGAGTTTTAAATAATATTTAAAATATTATTTAAAAATATACTAAAAACATATAGGAGATGAAAAAATGACCAAAAAAATAGAAATTCTAGACACTGTGTTGATTACATCACACTTTACACCCTGAAATCAATAATTGCATTTTCTAGTTAGAAGCCTGAGTTACATGGCTAAGCTTAGCCTTGCAGTATTCCCTTATACTCTTACTTTTTTCCCAATTTACCAGCACCAGGTTTAACTCTTGAGTTGTATCATTTAGTCCACTATGCTTCCTTTCAGATGAAACCCCTTGCGGTACTCATGGTACTTCTCTTTACAAGTGCTTGTTGACAGTGAATGACCTATGTTATAACATTAGATTAGAGAGACTAGAAAATGACAGAACAAAATATTTGCTTTTGTTCTACACAAAGTAAAGCAAATATCTATATTCTGGCCATTTTCAACGCCAAAGATCTTGACTAACAGTGTTCTGTATTTTTCAAACACTGAATGACTCCAGCTCTTGGTATTTGATTTGGAAAGAATTATAAACAACCCAGTGGAAAATTTTATCACCAAAGCCCTTATCACAGCTTCTTCTCACTTTCACTCTATAAAGCAATTATGTATATTAAAACACTATAAGGAAAATGTAGCTAAATATTCATAATATTAACCAGCAGGTGGTGGGATTTGAGGTGATTTCATTTCTTCTTACAAGTTTAGAACTGAGCATGTATTGCTCTTATAATTAGAAAAGAATTGAATAAAAACCCACAATATTCAAAGGATACAAAAAGGCATCTCACAAAAGCAGAAACCCAAATGACCAGTAACATGAAAAATACTCTTTCTCATTAATAATTAAGGAATTCTAATTAAAACCATAATATATTTTCAAAATCGTTGTAGTGGGCAGTAATTTAAAAATTTGACTACACCTGTAATAGTGAGGATGAAGTGTGGAACTCTCACACCTTACTGTGAGAATAAAATTAGTACAATCACTTTGGAAATTAATATGACAATATATAGGAAAGTTAACATATATAGCAAATACACTTTTAGATTGTCTCAGCATTGCTTGCAATAAAAAAATTGGATAAAAATCCATTAAAAGGAAAAAAATTGATAAAGCAATTTGTCGTATATTCTATACTATAATTAAAATAACTGAATGTGAACTACATAGAACAATGTGGAAAAGCCTCCAAAACATAATGTTGCTAGAGAGAATGCATGTTATAAAAGAATATTTATCACATGATTCCAATTTTATAAATTTAAAGACATAAAAAATAAATTTTATTTTTTTATGACACAAACATATGTAACAAAATTATAAAAGTATACAAGGAAGTGATGAATTCAGGATGGTTATCTCTGGGGAGCGAAGTAATGGACTTGAAATTGGGGAGGAGTAACTCAAAAGGCATTGATCATTCTGCAATTGTTTTTGTCTTGGGAAAGCATAAAAATCTGAGGCATAATATGAATATGGTAATATCTGCAAAGCTGATAGTAGGTATAATTTTATTTGCTTGAAATATTTCATAGTAAAATTAAAAATAAAATAAGAACATATTTTATTTATAATATATATTTGTTGTGAAAATAAAATAGTTTATGTTTATAATTTCACTGTGATATAGTCTCACAAAGCAGATAAAATATAACATAAAGACTGAAGTAAAATAAAACTGAAACTAAATACTAGTGATATTTGGGTGACAGGACTGATATATTTTTTACTTCCTTTTTCCTGTATTTTCATAATTTTTAATATGATATTATACTATTTTTATAATGGAAGCCGTATTTGGCCTGTATTGTGGAGGGTCTTGAATGTTATGGTATGTGTTTGGTTTTATCCTATGATCTACTATTTCCCAAATAATGTGCTATGGAACATTAGTGACCTTTGAGGTTTTAATTTGTGTTCCTGTGAAATAAAGTTTTCAGGGTCAATAAGTTTAAAAAAATGATGTTCCCCGTGCCTCCTGCTTGAATAAGCAGAATGCACATTTATACAGTAAAGGCTCTGAGAAGTTCTGTAGTAAAAAGCACCATACAAGACAAGCTGAGCATTTGTTCAGCTCTGTGTTTCCCAATTACATATGATTACAGATTCTTTTATGGGGGCGTATTTATTATCATTTGAGGGATGTTAGTTTTCAGGAGACGCATTTTGCAGAACACAATTATGGAAATATCCATAACATTATATAGAAAGTAGCATAATTAAAAGAGATTTTGGACATTGAAAGTGGCAGTGCTGGGCAAGTCGGTTGGAGGTGATGGAGGCTGGTGTCAGAGAGGCCAAATGGGCAATCATTGCAGTAGATAATTAACAGATGATAAAGGCTTCATACGTTGCTGAATGCTTCAGCCCACTATAGCCACAATTATGCTCCTGGCACACAATAAACACTCATTTCCCAAATGTCTGTGGACCTGCTCAGATTCGGCTGATCTGACTCCAAACTATAGTTTGGATCAAAGTCTGTTCCATGTATCTCAGTGTCTTTATTTTTCTTTATTGATGTGAGAGAGAGAGGCAGGGAGAGGGGGAGAGAGATAGAAACATCAATGAGAGAGAACATCAATCGGCCACCTCCTTCATGCCCCCCACTTGGGGATCAGGCCCACAACCTGGGCATGTGCCCTGGCCAGGAATTGAACCAGCAACCTCTTGGTGCATGGGTCAATGCTCAACCACTGAGCCACACCGGCCCGGCTCTCATTTTCTTTAAAAAAAAAAAAAAAGATTACCCAAGGTATGTTCTTCTTATGGCAAATACAAGTTTATTTCAAGTCTTGTACCATGACAACTAATATCCCATTGGCCAAAGCAAATCACATGGATGGCCAAACCCAAATCAAGAGAGAGAACATGGCACTCCGTTTACCACAAGGCGAAAACACATCACAGGGCCAAGCTTAACATCAAAGGGCTAGGGAAGTATATTCTTCCCAGGAAACTGGGAGTCAGGGGAAGAAGTGAATATTTGCTGAATGATTATCCCATCTATAGCCCTGTCGGTCTACAAAATGAACACAGCACAGCTCTTTGCTCGCTAGTGGAAATCTGTATATGTTATATGCATCAGTATGGTCTTGATTTCTGAAAGACGCCAAGGATGAAAATGGTTTTAGCATGACACAAACCTAAAGACAGTTGTGTGACAACTGAACCTTACCTGCACTTTATTTACTCTCTAGGTGTGATAACAAGAGTATAAAGTGTCTATAAAGAAGAAAATTGCTAAGAAATTAAAGCAGGATTGTAGGAGCTGAGCCCTAATCATTGTGCCTGGCAGAGATCAGCATGTGAGTAAGAAGCCCATCTTCCACATTCCACACAGCGTTTCTCTTTCAATATTAATTGACATTTAGTATTCAGAGACATGACACTGTCTAGATCCCAGAAAATAATTTCAATCCTCAAGGGGAAAAAAAAAGAATGATCTTGAATATTTTGAAATAATGTGGATCAAAAGTATAGGATCAAACAACCTGTTATGTTTTTAGATACTTTGTATTTTTACTCCAAAATGGTTTGGTGCCTGTTGTTTTCTACATTTAATATCCCATATTATATTTTTGTTGTTGTTGTTGTTGTTTGTCATTTCCACATATTAATTGTGTGATTCTGATATACAGGCGACCCTACCTGCATTAAGACACATTGCTTTAAAGAGTAATAGTAAGGTATATTTTTTGAGGTTTTATTTTCTGGCCAGACTGCTTTTAAAAGTGCAAGACTTATGTCTAGTTGTGTCGTAGAAGAAGTGGGAGAGTAAAGGAATGATGAGAGGAAACCGGGAAGGGCCTGGTCTGTAGCCAAACTGTGAAAATAAAGAGCGGAGAAGACCGGGAACGATATTTGGGGAAGCATTTTGGAAGGCAGGGATTCTCTCAGTGCTCATAACAGACCACCAGGAGGGCACCGGATATGTTCTACCTACAGAAATACATGTGTTTTACATATGAATTGTGTTGCATATGAAATGTTTGGTGCCACATCGCATCTATATGGAGTACTCGATACATAGTACTGAACAAAAAGGGGAGGCCTAAGACACAATTTTCTAGTCTTACGGTGTATCTCTTCTGTGGAATACGATCCTATTATTTTAAAAAATATAACTCAAAATAAAAACAAAATTCACAGGGTGTTAGAGTTATGAAGCTTTGGGAGATGGAGTATAAAGCAATTATTAATATTTTGTATTCAGTTTATATCTGGTTAATCACTTGTTGAGTCTCCAGCTGAATGACTAGATGTGCCTAGAAATGCTCCTTGGTACCAATAGCCAGGTTAGTTAAGTTAGATTGTTTACTGTGGCCCATCTAACACCAAATCCCAGGTCAGTGACTATTAGTGATAATAATGTTGGTGACTCTAGCATCATTCATATAAAGCGATCTTAGAAACCCACTGCTATACTTTAGTTTTAGAGTCATGTGCTCTCTGCCACTGGCCAGAGGGATGAATTGCGGATGACCTCCTTACCTCCTTAGGGCTCAGTTTTATTCATTTATTTATTCAACAAGTATTGTTGAGGATCTCCTCTGTGTAAGCCTTTGCTAGGTGCTGTGAGCAATGGCAGAAGGAAAAATAATCATTGCTTACAGTAATATTACAATGTAGTGGGATTTAGTTATAAGATATAGTTATAAGATATAGTTATCTTATAACATAATTTAAGTGCTATAAGACAAGTATACCCCAAATATTAAGCTATCTAAAAGAGGAAGAGGGCATTTGGGGTTGGAGTGGGCAGGGGGAAAGAAAGGAGTGGAGAGGGAGGGAGGCTTCTAGTAGAGGGGAGCTCTGAGGCTGGCTCTGGGTCTGGGGGGGCCGGTGAGGCACTGCAAACTGAGGGTGTGGTCTTAACACAGAGTAGAGAACAAAGAGACGTATTTGTCGAATGGTGGAGGTGACCTCTTGGCTGCAGGTGATGTGTAGGGGAGTAGAGGGAGTAAAAGTCAGGAAGATAACGTGGGGACAAAGCATAGAAAGCTTTGCATTTCCAGACTGAACTGTATTTATAAGGGACTGATAAGTCACTGGATTTCTTCAAGCAGATATTTGGTATGACGTGAGAGGTGTTTGGGGAAATGACTCTGGCATCATGGGTAAGATGATTTGAACTAGAGGGAAGGGAGAGTTGTTTCAGGCAGACCAAACTAAGAAGCTATCACAATAGTTTAAGTCAAAGAAAATATAGACCTGAACTGGGGAGGAGAAGTGAACAACATTTCTGGATGAAGATCTGATTAGGCTGTTGGGAGGCAGCTGGAAAGATGTCAGTTGTGGCTTAATTTTTTAATCTCCCCAAATTCTCTTAGCCCAGGTTTTCTCAACCTCAACACTATTGATAATATGAAGTGTATAATTCTTATTTATGGAGTAGGTGGGACTTTCCTGTGCATTGCAGGGTGTTTAACAGCATTCCTGACATTTACCCATTAGAAGCTTATGGTGCTGCCCCTACCCCTATCTGCATCTCCAGTTGTAAAAGCCAAAACTATCTCTAGACATTGGCAAATGTCCCCTGGGGGATAAAATTATCCCCAGGTGAGAACCCCTGTCCTATATACAACTAATAGAGCTAACAGGATATAAAATCTAACAACCCACCAGACTATGTCTATGTCTGTGTCTGTGTCTGTGACTGTGTCTATGTCTGTCTCTGTCTATCTATGTATCTATCTTTATATTTATCTATCATCTAACTAATTTGTGATCTATCATTTATTTTCTATCAACTATTACTAGGTTTAAGGTATCTCTACAAACCCAAAATATGAATGTGTTACAAAAATACCCTGAGATCCAGGAGACCTGTGCCGTATCAGCACCTTTTGTAGATGGACGCCAAGGGAAGATAATGTGGATCCTGAAGGTCCTGATACCAGATCACTCTGGTATCCCCAGGAGGGGCTCACTGGAAAACATGGCTGTGCTGGGTGGGAGTTCTGCAGCATCAGATCATGAGTGGGAGCAAGGGGTCCACATTTGATGAGAGGCAATGGGGCTGGCACAGTCTGGGCCCTGTAAACCGCTGATCATTAACAAGCCATTCCCTCCTGGAGAAGCTATTGAGGATAGACTTCAAACTGAGCAGAGCAAGGACAAAAGGGGCAAAAAAAAAAAAAAATCCCAATGCAAATGGGATTGGAGAGTAGAACAGATCTTATAAAGTATAAGGCCATACTTCTTAAATCACTTTGAGAGGAAAAACAGTTTAGAATCATGGATCTAGAAAAGTTATTTTGGCTTCTTTTTCTTCCTAAAAGTAGACGAAAAACTCATTTTTTTGCATGTGAGCAAAGGAAAAAGTATGCAGTCTAATAAAGAGAATGAGGAGCAGGACAACCCCCACGGCCCAGGAGGCACCTGGAAAGACATGCCGACAAAGTGGATGAAAACCGAAACCCAGAATTTCAAAGTGAGCTGAAGAAACCAAGCAAATAGTAGAAGCAGTGACAATAAATTAAAAATAGAAAAACTCAGAAATGAGTTGATTAAGGAAGATTCAAAAGGAAATAAAATTGATCTTTAATGAAATTGAGCTACAAGGCACACAAAAGCAAATAAACAGAAAGGATAATGCAATGTGAGAGATAGAGCATAGATAAGAAGAACATTTTAAATATCAAAAAGACATGAAAAAAATTTTTTTAAAGCATCTGAGAGAAAGGTATGAATTTAGAAGATTTATCAATATCTTATGTCTAATACAGAGATTCATTATCTGGAGTCATGGACTACAGGGTTTGTGGGTAAAATTCAGGTGGTCTATTAACTTGATTGGAAAAAATATGATGGCTTCATTTTCACCAATCTCTGGCTGAAATTAAACATTTTTATTTAATTATTAATGCATGCATCAGAACACAGTAGTATTAATAGTAGCCATTCCTTTGTCACCAAAACTAATGACAAATGTCATAATATCAAAATATAGTTTTACAAAATGTTTCCAAATATCACTTATGTTCATCACTTTTTCAAACTTATAGTTGTTATTAGACATGCCATCAGATCTTATTATTTAAAATATTAATACAGAAGTAAATATATTACTATGCCCAAAATTAAAACTATTTTGAGAACTCTATTTCACTATAACTAGTTTTCTTTTATATTCTATGCATTCAATTTTATGCATCTAAAAATATTATTCTGAGAAAAGACCCAATGGTTTCACCAGACTGCTAAAAGTTTCCATAGTACAATGAATATTGTAATCTCTATTATATAATAGGAGTCCCTGAAGGAAAATTATAATTCAAAAAACTTTCTTGAAATAAAAGACAATTTGAAATTACATATTGAGAGGACTAGAAATGGGCGCATAATGGCCAATATTATCCTGTAAAGAAAAATCCTTTGGACATCCCAGCAACACGACCAGTAGAAAGAAAATTAGATTGCCATTAGAATCTTGAACAGCAACACCTTTACGACCAAGGAAAACATAGTAATATATTTAAGAAATCTAAGGCAAGAAAATGTGGGCCAAGAATCTTATGTTCAGCCAAATTGACCTTTAACTATAAAAAGCCTCTGGTAAACTGATGTAAACATGAAAGAACACAGAGAATATTGTTCTCATGTGCCTTTCCTGAGGAATCCACCAGACCACAGTGAAATGAGAGTGGAATTTAATAGTAAGCAGTTTGAAACTTTTATAGCACTTTGACATTGCCATGACATCCAAGCCCATGAATCATTTCTCTCGTAATTTATTTTCATTGTACTCTACAAAAGTATTGGTCCATAAAAGATTGGAAAAAATTTTAACTCTCTATACTAATAAATGAACTTCAGACAACCAAATTTACCATATGGTGGGTAGTGAGCATTAAATATAAATTTACCTGGACAATTAAGACAAAAAAAGTCTTAAGGGAGACAGTGTAGTATGTAATGTCTATATGCTCTGACAGTGAGGATAATATTAGTATTTTAAAAATGAAGAATTTTAGAATAGGGAGATTATATACAAACTGCCTCCTAGTTCTTCCCACTGAGAAGACTTAGAAACAGTAACAAAATTATTAGTAATGAGCATATCTCACATGTAGTCTACAGTCTGAAATACTATTTCCTACTACCTGCATTTGGATGATTCCAAGTCTGAGGTTGGAAATGCATATGATGACCTACAATGTACCAGAGAGCAAGAAAGCTATCAAAGATGACCAAGGTTATGTCAAAAAGATTCAGGGATTAACTTGAAGAGGCTTGTAGTGGTCACATATGGGGAAAGCAAAGTTAGGAACTTGGAGATCAGAGAATCTCACAGGTAGAAGGG